TCTCATCCGAGGATCTGGAATATTCATGCTGACTCTCATCTTCAAGACGCACTGACACTTGATTGATTAGGGTATCAAATAAGATGCACTTTTAACAAACGCTATCCATTACATTAATTCATTTCAAATAAACTCGTCACTGAAAATATATATAAAAAATATAATAATACCGCATTTGCACATTTTATACCGTGCACTACATTTATCATTTATATATTAAAATTATATTACCGTGAGCTCTGAGAGACGGGTCAAAATGACACGGCATGAGGTTTAAGATTGTTGAGGTTTGTTTGCAAGAAAGTTTCCGCCCCACTTCTGCGGCCTTCAACGCATCCTTGGATGTTTGGCATATTCAGGAAACCTCTTTTTAGGAGTTATAGATGGATTCAAACACTTCTGCGTTGGTCGTGTCTAAAAGTGTTTCGGATTTCGAATGTATGCTGTCATTTTATTGTGTTCCTCAGTCATTCGGTGTTTTAAGAGGCAATTCCGCAGAGTTGTACGGTTGTTAACTTTATTTGTTTTGAAATCATGCAGGAATCATAATAGCTCATGAAAAGTGTTTATTCTGTTTGACATCCGTGGAGATGTTGGTTCTTTGGCAAAAGTGCACAGGAGCGATGTTTGGATCAGTGTATGTTTAGCACAGTGGAGGACTGTAAAGCTAGTTTGCTGAGAGTTATTGCTGAAAAGAAATCTTTCTGCACAACTTACAGATCAACTTTTACTAAAATTATAATTGCTTGGCTTCAATTTTTACTTTTTGTGTTCGTGTTTGCAAATGCTTTGTAAAATTAAAGCATTTCATTTTCTATGTTAGGTTGTTTCTTTAAAAATTTCAGCAATTGCATACTATTTATTCTATTATAAATTCTATGATAGTAATTATAGTAAATGGAGCTGATATATATATATAGTCAGCTCAGTTACTCTTAAGCATTATTTACTCAGTCACCAAATGAATCTCATTTCTTTTATTTAGCATTTTGTCATTATTTCTGTTAAAAACAAAAACTTTTCATTTCAAGGCACGCAGTGCGTCAGACAATTTTAAAACGCATGCTCAAATGAGATTTGCTGAATTAGGTGGTTATAATGTATAAATTGTTTGTTTTATCAAACAAATAAAAAAGTTTAAGATTATAAATGTTGTCATGTGCTTAGTTTCTCCATGTCAAGCTTATGAACCTCAAAAGTGTGAATATGTAACTTTTTAAACACAATAAATAATTTATCTATTTGTTTGCATTAAAAAAATTCCAAAGTTTGTTTAACACTATTAACGCAACAATATAACATTGAAAGTGACAAAAGATCTGATTGGGTTTGATAAAGTAGAAAGTATCTGCCATTTTCGTAAAGCTCAAGATCACATCCAGTCCTGTCAGTGAGTCAATAGTGTGTTTTTACAGTTCCTCCCAGTGTGCCAATTGACACCTGCAGGGGAGGACACGGCCCTGGGTCACGACCCGACCTTTTGACCCTGCGGTGTTTTTACTGGGATATAAGGGAACGGCGGACGCAGAGGGAAATCTAAACAGCCGTGCAGAAAGAGGGAGGGTCACTTTATTTTAGTCCAAACATCTGAGACACCGCCATGGCGCTCTTCTCTGCTCGCTTTCATTCCACTCATATTTTCTTTCTTGTCTGAGGAATGTGTCTGTGCGAAGACTCTGTGTGAGTGTGTGTGTGTGTGTGTGTTTGCTTATAAGTGGATTTTATAGTCTTTGTGCATGTTCACACTGTCATCTTTGTATGGTATGTATTGTAGTTCACAAACATTGTTCAGAATCACTGTTAAATGATGAACACAAACCGCATGTTTTATTTTAATGCAGAAGCAAATTTTTTACGAGGATTACTCATATTATATGCGAGTAATAAACGGCAAAGCAAAAATATAGCTTTGCCGTTTTTGCTTTGTTTTTGCTTCTTGCGTACAGATCTAATGGCTTTAGTTGCATTTTTAGCATTTCGGGTTTTTTTAGATGCACCACATGCATGCAGTTTTAAAAATGCATTTTTATATGTAATTAGTGATGAGTTTCAAATCATGTTCTAAACAGAAATAGAGCAATGCACTTGTTTGCATGCTCCTGAAACAATGGCAGTGTCTTGTCTCAGCGTCTGTGATCTTTGAAGCGTGCAGCACAGAATCCTGTTGGAAAGGATCTGGCACCAAATGGCTTTCTAAAAATACACTCAAACAATTCCAGCCAGATCAGTTGGCTCACACGGACCCGATACCACGCAAACTCTCGTTTCATTATTCTTCACGGCGAAATAACCCAGCCAGCACTTGAAAGGAGCCGTGCAAATACGTCTCTTTTTTCCCTCTTTGGTTTCGTCTCAGTGTTTCTGACACATGGAGACTCGTCTCTATGGAAGCCGAATTCTTGGATCTCTTGGAACTTCAGAACGATGTCAAGGCATCTAATTGCTGAATGTCAGAGTTTGTTCTGTGACACCACCTTGAACCTCCAGCGTTGACAAAGACACAGTAGCGGCGCTCTGCCGTTGAGGAGTACGAGGGTTTGAGCGCCTGTCAGAGATTTTACGTTGCATTCGAATAGTCATTAACTTCAGAAAGCTCCAAATGAAGCCCTAATGGAAGCAGTTTATGCACTCGGTGGCTTGCTTGTTGTTGTTGTTTTTTGTTTATTCCATTATGAATAGATTTTTCTTTTCTTTGCAAACGCTTTTGCAAATGTTTCAGCTTTGTTTTTATGAGTGCAATGCTTTTCACGTTGACTGTAGAAATGTTTTCTTTACCGTGAACAAGTCAAACCAAAAAAACTGAATTGGTCATTTAGATTGAGTGCTTTTATGTGTCTCAAACTGATATTTTATATTGTGTACAGTACAAATAGTCATTAACTTTAGACACCAACCATGGTTAGGTACTTTTATTTTAAAATAAATAATAATATATAATTTATCATTTTATTTTTTATTCATATGTTTATAAAGCAATGCATTCATTTCTTAAGAGCTAATAGCTAAATAGTATTATTTAATATTAGATTAGATTTAATATTATTTAATGTTGTATTATTAGCTAATGTTTTTAGAAAATTAATTTTTTCTACATAATTTTTTTTCTACATTTTTAAAAATTATAATCTGTAAAAATGCTTTTTAAAAACAACTAAAAAAGAAATTGAAGAGCTCATTTAGTTATTGGTTTTAACACTGTATGATTTTTTTCGGCATTATTTTTATTTATTAAAATTTCTATAATGAGCTTTTCTTTTTTTTTTTGAAATGACAAATGAGTAGCTCATTTAGTTATTAGTTTTGACACTTTGTTTTTTTTCTACAATGTTGTAGTTTTAAAATTTCTATAATAAACAAACTCTTTTTTTATTTTGTCTTTGCAAAGCTTTTTACTGGCTTTGTAAAAACTGAAATATCAAAATGAGGAGCTCATTTAGTTATTGGTTTTAACACTGTGATGTTTGTTTTTATTGCGACCATCTGTAAGCATATGATGATGATTATAAATCTCAATCTTCTAAACGTCTGTCAAACCTCACGAATCTTGACTTGCAGTGTTTTCTCTCTGTGCAAACCTCAACAAAAGGCTAGTTTTCTTGTGGCATGTGTTTAAACGGTGTAAGGTTTAGCGCCTGGGGGTTCGGGTGATGTAATGTTATTTTTTGATGGGTGAGAATGAGGTGAGCAGAGGGCAGGGCGAGAATATTTGACAGCGTTGAAACGAGCCAGAGATATGATTACTGCGAGCGCGTTCAGTTCTCTGGGTCCTGTGGGAAGCTCGACTCCTTACGGCTTCTCAGGCTGAACACACCAGTGCACACAGTATACACTTCTATAGCTCATTACAGACGGAATAAATCATCTACGGCAGCTCGTTTTCAAACCAGCACACAGACGATTTAAGAGTGTGTGTGGCGTTAACAATGACATGCTTGATGTCCCAAAATGGATTCAAGAGGGCGTCTGTTTTACGGTGATATTAAAAACACCCAATTTTGGTGGAATTCTGTGCATTAAG